AAAGGTGCACTCCCCACCGCAGGGCCGGGTGGGGGGGACCCGGCGCGGCCACTCACCCAGCTTGGCTTGCTCCCGGTAGCTCTTCTCGTTGAGGCAGAGGCCCCGGCCGTGGAGCAGGGCGTGCAGCGGCTTCTCCTCGCCCTGGCGGGGCAGGCAGCGCAGCCCCTGGGCGCAGCGCTCGGTGTACACCCCGCAGGACTGCCCCTCGGCCAGGGCGCAGGTCATGCAGCAGCCGCAGCCCGGCTCCTTCACCAGCTCGCAGCCCGCCGGGCTGGGCGGGCACATGGACAGGGCTTTCTCGTCGCACGGCTCGCAGTGCACGAAGGAGCCCAGGCCCTGGGAGGAGCCCAGGCACATGCCCACCAGCAGGCAGAGGGTCAGGAGCATCTTCCAGGCGCGGGCGGGAGCGAGGAGGCGAAGTTGGGTTTTTAAGGGCGGGGTGGGGAAAAAAATCCCCCTCTCAACTCCACAAAAACGAAGCACCGAAAAAGTCCCGGGAAGGATTATTGTTTTGGCTTCCAAAGAACCAGTTGGCACAGCCTGGGTGCAAGGCTGAGAGCTGCTGCAACAGGTTGGGGGAAAGGGCAAATCATAAGCCAGCAAAGAGCTGGGGGTGACTGCTACCCAAACCGGCAGCAACTATCCCCAAGCCTCCCTCCCCCGCCGGCCCCCCAACAGGTTTCCACAGCTTGGCGAGGAGGGCAGGTGGGGAGCAAAGTTATTTTGCGGAAGGGGCTCCTGGCAGGAGTGCAGCAAATAATAAGGAAATAGAGCAGAGCAGGTAGCGCTAGGCGGCTGGAGAGGTTGGTTGAAAGCACATTTTTGTGTTTTGATTGGGTCTCTTTGCCTCCCCCTCCTCTTCCAGGTCTGTCAAGAAAAGTTTGCTGCAAAAGTTTGGATGATGATTATGATTATTATTATTTGCAGAGGCTGCAGAAGAAGAAGTTAAAAAAAAAGAGAAAAGAAATTAGGAAAAAAAAAAAGGAAGGAAAAAATTCCACTTTGTAGATCTCTCAACACTTTTCCCCCGGAGAAGTTTCTAAAGAGACTGAATACTGCCGAGCAGGCTGTCTTTTAAATAGACTGCCCTGGCTGTCTGCCAGCCCTGAGCTGCAATTTGAGATCCCAGTGACACCTCAGCTTGGACGGGTGCCAGCACTAGGGCACGATCAGTGCACACTCAGAGTGAGTGGGGGTGGGGGCTGCAGCTTTTGACTTCTAGGTTTCAAACCCCGGGCAACGATCAACGCTAATATCATGGGGAGTGGGGGAGAAGGGAGGGTCACGAAAAGAAATTGTTCCGATTTCCCCGGTTAGGAGTGCAGCTTGAGAGAGACACCGAGAGAGGATTTGTCTGGGAATCTCTGTGAGCACAGTGGCCAACTTTCACGCGGTAAAATAAGCCCCCCGGCTTTCACAATAAGCCAAAAATCAAACTAGTCCCGTTTCAAAACAAGAACCCCAACACTCTATGTGACTAGATCCCCCCCGCGGGCAGTCTGGGACTGCGGTGGGCCCGCTGTGCACCCCTGACTCTCTCCTCCCCTTACCCCCGATTGCCTCCCCTCCCTTGCCCCTGCTTGCTGGGAGCCGATCACAAAAAAGAAGCAACAAGCTACAACAATCAACAAGCCAAAAACTAGCCAACAAGCAACTCACAAGCCAATGAAGCCAAAACCAAGCCCAATTTCTGCGTTTTGTTCCGCGGGTTTGGCATGTCTGTCTGTGAGATATTGCAGAGTGCTCTGTTGTTTTGATTTCCCACCGAACTTCTAATGACTTTTTAAATCACGCAGGGCCCAATCCTGCAAACATTGGCTATCAGGCATAGCACTTATCACCAAGACATCATGACCGCTCCCCCCACCCCCCCGGATTGGGCCCTAAATAAGGGAGATAATGTCCATCCGTTGTAAGTATGACATGTATGTACCACGTGTTAACACAGTCACTTATTCAAGACTGTAGCTACAGAATGAGCAGAGAACATTCCTAACTGTGCATTGGTGTGATTACACAGCCCTACACCTGATACAAATATATTCTCCTTTGCATGCACACCTGTGCCGCTGACACAAGTCCCTTGCATGGAAAACACACAGAGTTAATAAAACTGAAGGATGAACATGACATAAGGCAGGGATAGGCCGACTGCAAGAACCGTGTTAGATTCCTCTCTGGAAAAGTGAGCTGTGCTTTGCAGGATGCCAGAAAGCCAGGGGAATTTTGCCACGCGAAGCACAATTTGTACATTTTATCTCAATCCTGTTCTGCCCCATAAATTCCCCTGCCCACCCCCTCATGTGAAAAGAGCCAGACTTCTGGTAGGGACACAGCATTCCTAAACACAAATGGGCAGGCCACATCCCTTCACACTAGCACACAACAAAGTCCTTCAGCGCTTATTAATTATTTGTAAAGATTAACTTTTGTAGCACTAAATCTCCGCTAATAAATACATCACCCGATCCCCTGACACTCCAGAACCACTGTTAACAGACACGATACACCTTGAGCAACAATGACAACAAAAAACAGGTTTTGGGGGCTTGGTTCTGTGTTCTTTAAGTCAACTAAGTGATGCTGCCTTCAGACAGAGGGAGAAATTGAAAGGGATCGCCCATCTCTTCATGAGATTTAAATGAAATATCAGAGCCCCCCCTTGGCCCCTCTTGTTCCATATTCCTTAGGTTGCTTCTCAGCTCCCGCATGAATGTGACTGCCTGCATTGCATGGATTTTGCCACTAGAATGCACCCTTATCTATGATAAGACATTGGGTCTGCTGCTTAAAAAGGTTAACTCTTTTTCTGCCAACATTGTCTAGCCTTAAGCCTGCCTTAGCCTTAGTCATCTCTGGGGATTCATTGTTTTAATGCATTGCTCATGTTTTCACCATATACATGGATTTTGTATTAAATGTGAGATTCCCTTTTTTTTCTGAATTGTTTTTCTATGAGGAAGGTCTTCATAGGTTTTCTTGTAAACTATCTGTTTAGATCACACTTAGTTATTTCCAAGTGGCTGATTAGATAGATAGATGGATAGAGTTAAGAAGACATATTTAAATATAAATTCTACACTAGACCCAAAACTGATCATTTGTATGGAATATTAGTCATATCCTGCTTTTAGAGGGACAAGGTGAGGGAGGTAATTTCTTTTATTGGACCAACTTCTGTTGGTGAAAGAGACAAGCTTCTGGGCTCCACAGAGCTCTCCGTCAGGTCAGCTCACCCACCTTGTCTCTGTAATGTCCTAGGACCAACACGGCCACACCAACACTGCAAATATTCTGCCTTTGATTTTCGTGAGGCTCTCCCATTGATTTTAAGGGGCCTTTTGCATGTCGCAACAGCAAGGCTGTGCACTTATATAGCACTTGTCACCTGAAGATCTTCAAGTACTTTGCAGGAGTGATTAAGGTGGGTGATCATTCCTCCCCCCTCATGGTTAAAGCCAGGGAAACCGAGGCATAGAGAAATGAAATGGTCCACAGCATGACAGCCAGACATGGGCAGAGACAGCAATACAATACAGGGGTGAGATTTCACCCCTCTCTGGCCCCTGCACAATGTATAAAAATGGCCAGGCATAAAGCCCCAGTTCCACTCATGGGAGGACTCCCTTGGTGCGAGCATTGTGGAAGACAGGTGCAAGGCCTGCCTTCCGAGGATTTCTCTGCAAGCCCAGCCATGGGGTCGGAGCCGGACTGGGAGTGGGTGATGTGTATGAGGGTGGAGGTTCCAGACAGTACTGTGGAGAGTCTGGGGAGGCTGCCCTCAGTTAGACAGGTCCCTAGAGCTAACTTACACCGGGGGACCATGTGAGAGCAAAGCTGTCTTAAAGATACCCTAAATTCCTTCCTACTGGGCTGCAAGTTCTATGCTGGGCCCTCTTCTCCGAGGTCTAGCACACTCTCCTTATTCTCAGCCGTGTCCTCTAACCACGAGACCATGGCAAGAGGCAGACTGAAGTCTTAAGCCTGTAGGCCTTAAACCTTTAGCCATAAGCTGATTCTGTCTGTACCCTCTTGACTGAGGACTCTACAAAATGATAAGAGCAGCCTCTGTACTGTATGTTGCAGTGCAACAGTGGGCATTAAACAGCCCCCTTGTCTGTAGTCTGGACAGAGTTTGGGGCAGGGAGTCTGACTCCTCTCCAAGGCTGTCAATCTGGCATCTTTCACCAGCCAGAAAGAAACTATTTCACTTTTAAAAAAATGGAAAAAAAGAAACCAGCCAGTTAGCAGCATATGGCTGGTCTTCAGCTGTAAGAGAACCTGTAACCAGCAAAGATCATATTTCTCCATTCCTGTACATTGCAAGGGGGTTAGCAGGATAATATTTGAAATTTCTATAAACCTCTTTCTTATTTGGGGAGTGAACAGAAAGCATTCGGATGAAATCCATGTTTCTGTTAGCCTCTTCTAATATTCTTTAAGTCTATATACTGCATATTTTATACATGGATTTTTGTTACAAAAGATCTCTTTGGAAAATGGTCACTGTTCTTTACTTCTCAGCGATGTTACACTTCATTATAATCCTCTCTGTAATGTGTAAAAGCCCTGGCTTTCAAGGATGTGATAAAAGAGATGGAGCGTATGCTTTAGTCTGGCCTCATCAGTGTATTTTGGTGCCACTTGGAATATCCAACAAGTTCAGAGGTGACTCACAAATTTGGATTTTTTTTCCCCTCAGGGAACACTGTCAAATTAGTTTCAGCCCAAAATGTAGGCTTTGTGAAGGAGAATAAAGTTTTATAAACATGAAAAGAAGTGTTCTCATGCAACTAAAGAAAAGCCAGTGACAACAGCTATTTTGGAATCCGAACATCTCTTCGCAGGGTTCGAGAGCTCAACATTGCTACGGCATAAGAACCAGAGACAGAAAACTGACCAATAACAAGTGAAATCAGAGAGACATGCAAAAAATTAAACAGGCAACAAAATGGGATTTTGATTTCCAAGTTATTTTCCTATTTACTATACGGTATTTTTTTGTATCTTGTGTAAAACATTCTTTTTCTTTTTTTTCTTTCCAAATACGTCATTTTTCTCTTGACAGTGTCCCTTTAAACAGCATTCTGATTTGTAATCATAACAATCATTTAAGAAACCATTGCAGTTTTGTGCATGGAGCAACCCTAAGAACATCCATATACCAATACACAAAACACAATGGCAGAGCATTCTTGGAGTGATGGGTGTAATAGCGGTTGTGAGGGCTAGGTGGCATAGTGGATACATAGCATGTTTACCTCCAGGGACATCCTTTCACACATGATCTGGGCAATGATGAACAAAATTATCTCCTTGCAAGCAGTTTTCTGTATCACTAAAAAACCCTAAACACTTCAGTGCTTTAAGTGAAGACAGCATCGGTGTTTTGGTTCCTAACATGATTCTTGAGAGTATTAATTTTAAACGACATCAACTCAAGTCATTGGTCACTGGAGTTGCTCCCCTGCTGGAGTTTTGCATTTTGTAAGATCTTTGGCCCAGATTTTCAAGTGACTAGCAGTTATGGGGGCCTTGGTTTTAGTAAAGAGGAATGATTTTCAGAAAATGCCAAGCACCCAGCCTCTGAAAATCAGGAGGTCTCTAATGGGGCACCCCGAAAACAGAGGCATCCAAAATCACTAGTCACTTGAAAATCTTGCCCACATTTAAGTCTAACAAGGGTGCTTAAATTCCATTGACAGAAACCGCTAAGGGGCAACATTCCACAATCTAAATTGATCGGTGACCAGAGAACTTGGCCCAAGTTTCTTGGACTGACAGACAGTTATTTCATAATTAAAGGGCTATCGAGATTTTTCTTTCCTTTGCTTAGCGCATGGGACTGGGAAGCAGGAGTCAATTCTTCCCTTGGTAGGACACCCTATCAGACCTGAATGGGAGTCACGTGGTGGAGAACAAGACCCCTGGGTTACCTGCTCTTCCCTGAACTCGCTGTACGACTTTGTCCATGT